TCTCCATTGTGTTCTCCAAATGTCTTCAACGTCAACAGTGCTATAGGTCTCTTGAAGGAAGATAATATCATACCTCCGTTCATTTAGCCAGGTAAAAAGGGCTTTCCTTTTCGTGGCGGCTCGAACCCCTCGCACATTAAGAGAAAGTAATTTAAAATCAAAAAGTTCTTTCATCAGTGGGATCAGGAAGAAAACATAAATTATGCGCATACAAATAATTTTCACCGCAGTGGTACAAAAAATTGAAAAGAGGTGGCAACTGAGGTGCAAAAACACACAGCACGTAGGTAGACAATACACACAAAACGCACAAATACTCACAAAACAAAAAAACGAAGGAAATAACAAAAGGACAAATAAAACAAAGAAAAACAAACAAACAAAGAATACATTACACAACGACGTTTTAAGAAAGAGCGAAAAAAGGCGGCGAGGTAATTATTACCTATAAGACGCTGCCACAGAGCTTGGGACAATCGTTTCAACAATTGTTCTAACCTACACATGCCACTCCCGTTACAAAAACAGACTGATGAAAAGCATAAACAAAGTCAAATAAAATAAACCAAGTCCAAACTTTCAAGATGGCATCGATGGCAGCAGGATTTGAATCGGAAAGAAAGTTAGAGAACAAGAGTAAGTGGGATTGGAACTGTGCATGGGCACTATGTACGAGCACCTAGAGAACACAGACTCTGAGGCTTGCGTACTATTTTCTTAAAGGGATTGAGAGCGATGAAAAGTTAAAACAGTGTATTTGAAAGTGCTCAAAAACAGTAATATCAATTGGAAGAAAGCAGTAATTTGCTCAAAGCATTGGTCCTCTGGAAAGCGAGAAAACTTGGAGGACCTTGTTTCTTTGCCAGAGTACGTGCAAAGACTTGAAAACTCAAAATCTTCCGAAACAAAAAGGGACAAAAAGCTTGTTGCTACAAAGCGTGCGCTGGATCAGGGTACACCTGGTCCAAAAGCAAAGAGTCAATTATTAGTCAGAACTCATAAAGAACAGGACTTACCTGATGCTAGGAGCTCGATCCAAATACCGCCTGCAAAGTAAAGCAAAATAATTTTGAAAGCGAACTTGATGCAAGGCGAGCAGAGAAGGAGAAGGAACTTACGAAACTCCAATGTCAAACATGTGAATTGATGCAGAATCAAAAAACACAAGGGAACAAAATCGGTCAAATTCCTTCTGAAGTGAGGAGAGGGCAGTCCTCATATACTAGTATAAAGGAACAACCAAACCAACTTTTTGATTTGACTGTGTGGGGAATAGGAATTAGAAGCCCACACTCTCACAGCTTTCACGATTAGATTTTTTTTAAAGTAAATTTTTAGTAACCTACTTTGCAAGTACCAATAAGTTACAAAATCATCTTACAGAGTATCTTGCTGTTACAGAAAACAAATCAACTTGAACAAAACTGATTGGCTAAAATATGACTGATGTTGACACAAATATAATCAGGATAGATTTTACTGGAAACAAATGCGACACAACAACGAAAGGTATTTAGAAACTTGACAGTTCAATTACAGTACAATCAAACGTGTAAGTCAATTACAGACGTACGCATCACACACTTGTTATAGCCTCATGCCTATTATCCAGTTTCCGACACACTCCCCCCATGTGCTTTTTGCAAGGAAGCACATGTAAACAGAGGAAACTAAATCAGTTTGTCAAGTGTTGAAACCTTGAGCAAGGGAAATAATGAATGGCAACGTTCACTCATGGCTTAAATCACTCAGTGCCACAGTTTAACGTTGTAGTCGAACACTATGCTCAATCAATCAATCAATAATCTTTATTTATACACGATAAGTATTTAAAGCGATGCTTCACTTGTGGGGTCTTGTCTAAATAATTAAATAAGATAACTAATGAAGTTAGAAAATAAATAGTATATACACCAGCTAAAATCATATAACTACTTACAAGTCTAAAACGATAAAAGCTTAAGATTCTAAAGTACAAGGTGGTACTCTAGTATCCACTAATTATTAACACTAATTATACTTAAAATCTTCCTCCCTTCTTGTCAATGTTTGAGGGGAGATACAGTCGAAATCTAGGTGTAGCAGAGCCTTTGACCGTCTTGCCATAATCGCATACTTCTTAACATTGTCTATATCGTCATTAAGTTGAGGAACCAACGTGTTCCAAACTATTGCTCCTCTACGAGCTACAGAGTTCCTCATGTAGTGGGTGTTAAAACGAGGAACATCAATTTTCAGTTTCTTCCTAAGTTGATATCGCTTGATGTTATCATTGTTCTTAATAATAGCTGACATAGCATCTGGAGTCAGGTTATTGTGGATTTTATACATAAGCTTAGCTAAGCTAATTTTATACATAAAGGCTAAAGAAGACCAATTAGCCTTTTTCATAACATCAACATTAGATATCTCTTACTTCTCAAAGTTCTCCGTCTTCAATAAAGTTGGCAGCTACCACAGCATCTCTCCATGGACGGAAAACTGGTGCTTCAGCTTTTAGATCAGTTGGGGCTGCAGCTCCTTCTGCCACATTATCACATGTTAACTCCAGGGGGTAAAGATGCTGAATCGATCTTTCCAGGGACGTTTTTCCTGCACGTAACTTTACCGCTTGCACTGGTCCATCTCGGCCCTCAAACAGCTCTTCCAGAATCCCGAGAGACCACTTTCCACGAGTTTTCTCTTCTAAACAGATTACAGCAACGTCTCCTATCTTCAAAGGTCCGGATTTACCCCAACTGTTCAGGTTGTGTTGCTCTCTTAGTGCAGTCAATTAGTCCCGTGTCCAGTGCTTCCAGACAGCATCTTTGCAGGCTCTTAGGTATTTTTCTCATTTACGTAGATGATAATCTTCTTCTCTCCATGCTTGTCACTCTGGCAGACGAAGAGATCTTTGGAATAGAAAGGAGGACGGTGTAAGGAGAGGGAGCTGGACATCATATTCGACATAAGACAAGGGGCAGCGATTGAGTTGAGTTTCAACATCGAGCACAACATGGCATAGATCTGCCCATGATAACTTTCCCCCTCCAATTATTTTGTAAAACACTCGCTTGAAGAGGTCCCCCAGTCCCTCAAACTGGCCACCCACCAGGGTGCCCTGCTAAGGTTAGATTTCCAGGTGATCTTCTCTGATGCTAGCTAACCTTGAGGCTGCTCATCTTTCTCCGTTTTTTTTAACAACTTCGCAGCTCCATTATCTGAGAATATCTTTGAAGGTCGGAGAATCCAGTTCCAAGGAAAGTCGTTTTCTGTCTACTAAACCTTTAGCCATGGTAAGATGCCCATTCCCCCATGGTAAGGCCCATTCTCCCCGTGAAGAGTTGCTTTGTGAGCGTGTTGAACATACTTCTCAGAAAAAATCGTGGTGTCTGGGATATAGATCGGGCAGACATCTTGCAGCCTTCCAAGGCACTCTAACACTTCATCTTGGTTTTTCTGTAAATTGCGGCGAAGTCAATCTTCTTCCATGTTTTCAGTTCCCCGGATCTAGACTTGCAACAACCAGAAAAGTTTTTGCTTCTTGATTTCATCGGTAGTGAGTGGTCCTTCTACTCTCCTTCCCTTTCTGGCTCTGGCATTCCATGTGAACCGCATGATCTACGCGCAAACTTGCAAAGTTTTCCAGTAAGTGTTCTTCACGAGAAGGTTGACCACGTCATCGTTAGTTTTGACAGCCATGGCAAAGAGTTCCCTTGTTTTGACTTCCGCGTTGGACTCTGCACTGGGTTTGGTCACGAGGTCTTGCGGCCATTTCCCAGGATCTTTTAGCCACTCTGGTCCCTCCCACGATAGCTAGTTCTCTTCAGATACAGGTCCACCTCTGCTAGCAAGATCTGCACGATTATCTTGAGTTGGTACGTGTTCCAGATAACGTCAACATGCTCTCTGATCTTTCAGACATGGTTAGCCACAAACTGCTTGTAGTCTCCCCCACCCAGTATCCAATGCAAGGAAATACTGCTGTCAAGCCAGCAGTGTAGGGAAGTCAGAGGGAAGCCTTGAAGTGCGTCTTGCACCTTGCTCAGGAGGTTTACAGCCATGTTGCCGGAGACCAGTTCTCGTCAAAGTATAGTCAGCCCATGCTTAGTCAGTCTTGCTGTTGCTGTCACAACACCTTGATTCAGCAGGCTTTCCTGTTTGATGATCGTGTACACAGCAGTGGCAACGCCCTTTCCCCTTGTATCTCCAAATGCATGAAGCTCAATTTCCTTGATACGCTCTTGGACACTGGTAAGTGCTCTTGGACAGTTAACTTGTTGGGGTAAAGAATGCTCCCACTTAAGCCACAGCTGTTTTAATGCAGGGGATAATGGTGCATCCTAGGCCTTCTTTTCCTCACAAGCATCATGGTATAGCAGCTTTCCTTGTAAGGTTATTGGCGCGATTACACCAAGGGGGTCATAGATCTTAGCTAACTTTCTCAGTATTCCTCTCTTAGCTGGCTGAGCGACCTCTGCTGGAAAGTTGAGACACTTTGGTCAGTCAGCTTTTTCCACTTAAATCCGAGCAGCCCACATTCACTAGATTTGACGCCAAGTTGCTGCTTAGCATAGGTTAACTTGTCTTCGGTCTCTGTTGATCCATCCAGTCCTAGTTCTTTCACGTTTGAGGGTCATTTATGTAGACAAATGGTGACTTGTCCGAAGGTTGCAGTTGTTAAGGCTTTCTTCTCTTTGGCCTTTTCTACCATCAGCCCACCGGTCAGCAGGTTGTCTACATATAGTTCATGTTCATTGTCATCCACACACTCAGGGTGGTCAGCTCGACAGTGCTTAAGGTGCTGTTTGATCACTCCCCCAAGGAGGAAAGGCGAGGGTCCCAGGCCAAAGAGCGCTTTAGTGAATCTGTACGTGTGAATTCGTAAAGGATCTTCCTTGTCTATCCAGTGAAACCGGAATGCATCACAGTCCTGCGCGCAGATACATACTTGGAAGAACGCCTTATGGATGACACCAGTGAGGACGACAGCACGAAAACTGTCTCGCAAAAGTACTTTTCATAGTTGATTTTGTAGTGGTGGTCCAACTTCAAGGCAGTCGTTTAAGGAAGGTGCTGAGTCATACACTTTTGCTGAAGCTTCATACATGATTCGCATCTTCGTGGTTTCGGCGCTCTCCCTGAAAACACCTTTGTTGGGGATGTAGAACTCTCGCCGAGTCACAGCCAGTGGTGTTTCTTCTATAATTCCTTCTTGAAGTAGTTCTTTATTGATAGCATCGTAGTCCTCCAGTTGTCCAGCCTTCTTCGGTCGTTTCGCTAGACTTTCAAGTTGCTTCATGCCCCCTGAGTTGTTCAGTGGTAAGGGGGGATGATCTCCCTTCCAGGGAAGGCCTGTAATACCATCCCTTAGGACTGCGCGTGAGGTGTTTGAGGAATTCAGAATACACGACATTCTTATCTCCATTAGGGGAGTCTTCAAGTCCAATGACGTTCATCCTGTAGAGCTGTTCAGTCACTGGACGCTGTTTGCACAAGAAACATGCTGTCAAAGTCTGCTTCTGACCCAGGTGACATAATAGCCCAGCCAAAACAGGTATATTCGGTGACAGGCTCTCCTATGGCTCCAGTGCGCTGTGCTTCTCAAGTTTTTCACTTTGCGTAGTCACTTGCTCCCAGAATCACATGAATAGGAAGTAGACTCTTTCTGTCGGTATTCTCCATTTTTACTCCCTTCAGATGCTGGTACCTGTGGATCATTTCCGTGCAGTTGGGGTTTTGCACAGATAACAGTTCAGCGCACTCTACTGTCATAACGTTCAATGGAAAGGTGTGGTTTCTGTTAGTATCACTCATGTTGACATCATAGAGCTTGATAGTTTAGGTACGTCGTGTGAGTGAATGTGTGGGTATTAGTTTCAGTAGATTCAGCAAGTAACCGGAAGCATACGAGACTGATGTGCCGGTGTCAAGAAGAGCTTGGCAGGTTATGCCATTCACTTTTACTAAGACAACAGGGTGGCATACTTTCTCCCCGTCTAGAGATGCTGTTAGAGCCACTCCCCTGTTGTTGGTTTGCTGATCTCTTCCCTCTACTTTATCACAAATTGGTGAAACGTCTGGTGGGAGATGATCTCCGCAGGCCAGGGGGGTCAGGGTCTACTGAAACGACTGCCTTCTCCAAAGAAGGGTCCTCAGGGCAAGATGGCTGGGCAGCTTTGTCGTCCATGATGCGGTCGACAGGAAAGGCAGGAGCAGGTGGTGTAACACAGCGAGGAATGTTAGACAGATGCTGGGCTGAAGCAGAGATAGCATCAGGGATGTCAGGCAGCGAGGGTGGGGAGGTGTGGTATCAGGATCGTCTCCGTCATTCGAGTCGTGTCCACGACACGGGCAAGGAGCATGTAGGGGATCAGCCAGGATTACCTTGAAGCTCTCAGTAAGTTTGACGCGGTAAGATGAGCTACATAATTAGGATCCAATGAACTTTTTGATATCACAGAATGATGGATCTATGACTACAACAAGGTAGCGGTCGTTGGGCTCGAGACTTGTTCCGATCGGAATGAAGGTACACTAGGTCACCAACATCAATGAAAGGACTTGGATGCCTGTTGTGCAAGGGCACTTTGGAGCGCTCACTGTTTGGGTGGTTGGATAGACGCTGCTCATGCTGGAGGGCAATTAAATGGTCATCAGCAAGGGGTAACGGCTGGTTTGAAAACTGGTCCCGCTGTCTCCACATTTCTCGCGAGGATAGGCCAGGTGAATGGATACAAAAGTTCAAGGCAGAAGTGGCTACGGGAAGAGTGAGTGGAGAAATGGCTCCGCCTAAAGGCTCCTGATGGAGAAGTTCCAACTCCAACTCCTGGACTGCCCTCTCAGCTACAGGGTTCTTGTTGGGATTTTTGGCCTGGCCAAGCTCAATTGTAATTCTATGCTTCTTTAAGAGAGGGTCATCAACGAGAGCCTTAAAGCCATGTGGAGGGTCAGTACGGATCACAACAGTGGGGCCATCCATAGGGCGAAATTCTAAGTAGCGCTTTCCAATGGCGTTGCGTAACGTTTGATGACGCTCGTCTTCAAGAGATACACTGGAAAAGTAAGAGGTCACAGTCTCGAGGAGGAGAAAGATGAGCTCGCGAGAACATTTGATGACGTCTGTGGCAAAGGACCGACCAATAGCATCGGGTGGTGGGGAAGTGGACTGGTCAATACGTGCGGTTGGAGAGCTTCCGATTGCTGCACAGGAGTGGCACCCATCGGACACACGAGAGACAGCCTTGTCCAGATCGAGAAAATATAGGTAGCGTTTGACCACCATTTCACCTAGTGACAGGATGGGTGGCTGAGTTGAATGTGAAGAGTGGTCAAAAGGCCGTCCAAAGCTTGGCATGGGACAATGATGCACTCTCTGGATGGTGACAAGGGTTCATGACGCCTCACAACAAGGAGGCCATCATCTGCAACTGATGCAACTTGTCAATAATTTTGACGTCCTTTATGTTTGTGAGTTTTTTGGACCCTGGACGAGGTGAGCGTGGGTGCGGCGTAGATCTGGGCACTCAGACTGAACAGCCACCCAGGCGGGCTGGCTGGTAAAGGGAAGGCAAACTTTGCATTGGAGGACATCTTGAACAGAAACGGCTCGGACAACAGAATCCCTGGTTCTAGAAATGAAAGAGCACACCTGACAGATCTCGTTTTCACAGGCAGCGGCGTTTCGGCTTGCGAAGTCTGACGGGAAGATAGCAGCACCAGAAATGTACCTGACTGAAGCTTGGAAGTGACTCACAACAGACAAGAAAGTGGATACGCGAAGGCTGGCAGAGAACTTCCCGCGGCAGAGTTTCTCATATGCTTGAATGCAAGGCTTACTGTCAGTAAGAATGCAGGCCTTTTCAACGGACTGAATAAGATACGGGCTGAAGTGCTTTGCTGCTGCCGCAATTGAGAGGGCTTCGACCTCGCATGGAAGCCACGTTGTTTGGGAGCCCCGCACTTGGCGCTGAAGAAGCCAGAGACATGTAACTTGTCTCCACACGTTACGTAGAGGGTGGCGCCTATTCCAGGGTCCCAGGCTGCTCCGTCAGTTACAATCCATAGCTGGTCCTCGGGTCTGGGTAACGTGATTGTGAGTTGCAGAGGAAAGAGCACTCTGAGCACTATGGAATGCGGCCTTTAGATCATCGGTACAGTTAATGGATTCCTGAGGAGGACCGGCTGTTACAGCATCCAGAGGAGCGAGGTAACTTGAGCAGCTTGGAATGACACGGGAAAGGACTTTGTAAATGCCAATGAAGGATCTCAAGCGAGCGACAGTGTTCGGCTCGGGGTACGTGGTGAGGATGTTAAGACGGTGGGGACTGGCGGAAAGGGAGCCAGCATTCCAGATCCAGCCGAGAATAGTGGTAGTCTTGGGACTGATGATGGTCTTGTGGGCAGACAAAGGCAGGTTGCACTTGTGTAGGGCTTGTAGGACCCTCTTCCAGTTGTAGAGTAGCTCTTGGGGGGTGTTGCCGCCGCTGTACAGATCATCAGTGATTTTAGCCACGGATCCGTCTTGTACTAGTGGGCCTAGGATGCGGCACACAACCTCTTCAAGAGCATTTTCTGATCCGGGCATACCCATAGCGGAACGAACGTAGACTCGTACCCCTTTAAACGGAGTGGCAACATCGCAATTCTTCATGGACTCTTTAGCCAAAGGTATTTGGTAAAAGGCACTTGTCAGGTCTGTGATGATTATATGAGACCACTGGGAGATGCGACGCAGGGTGGAGTCAACGTCAGGCAGCAAGGATAGTTGGGGTTTACTGTACTGGCCTACGTCAACAAAGGCAGTGACAAGACGAGAACCGCCGTTCGGCTCTTTACAAGGAAAGAAGGGTTCACGTATTCTACAGTGATACCGACATCTTGGTGCTGGAAGACACCAAGCTGCTCTGGGTGGTCAAACTTCTCTTGGAGTTCTACGAGCTTATCGCGGGCATATTGGGGGAGGCGGCCGTTCCACTGTGGGGGTTCGACAGGGCCCATGTTGACCTTTGCTTGGTAAGGGCCTGTGGATCCATTGTAACCTGGGAAGTGAGGGTCAAATACGGAGTCGTACTCACTGAGCAGAGATTGGAAGTTGGCTCTGACAACCTCAGGGAGAATGCGGTGTGGGTCTACCTGGATGGATGTGGAGTGACTAGCATGAGAGGGTGGTAACGGACGCTGAGTAGGAGACTGACTTGTCGGTGACTCGTCTTTTGGTTCGAAGACAGGGGTGACCTGGCAGAAGTGTTCGTGACGCTTAAGCGTTCGAGGTTCGGGTGACAGGTTTGGTATGCGAATTGCCCGCAAAACACTGGAAATGATGCCGGGTTCTGGCCACAGCTGAGAGGGCTTGAGATTATGTAAACTAGGTGCATCTGTGCGGGGCTCAAGGCCATACTCTGAATCAGGGGGAGCATCGTCTGGGAGCTGTACTTCCAAGAATTCTCCAGGCCAAAGAGTCTTGGAAGGAGTAGGAGCATGGAGAACAAAGGCTCTGCGAACGGTTGTGGGGGGACTGGGAGGGGCCTGGGACCCGTATGTGTAGGTAGATCCATTGCCAAGTAGCACCTCTCTCTTGGCAAACCGCACGGCAATGTCGTTTGCCTCCATAAAAGGGGTCCTGGCAAGCACTTCGACGTCCAGATCCTCTATGACAAGTCCCTCGAATGTAAAGTCGGTGTTGTCACGGGTGAAGGATGTTTGTCTTTCCGACCACCTGAAGCTGAGAAGAGCCATCTGCCTGCTGGACTGACTGAGCACTTGACATAATTGGACATCCAAGATGTTTCGCAGTGGAGTGACGGATCATATTTCTAGTTGCTACACTGTCAATGGTGACACGTACAATATGGTGACCATGACAGACATCAATATACGGAGATTGACGGGTCTGGATACGGTAGGCAGCAACGTCAGGGGTAGGGAAAGTGGTTTCAGGACAGGGTGAATCAGGATCAAGGTCATAGTTGGTGTCTTGTTCGTCGTCCAGTATGTCGACGATCTGTCTCGCTTTTACCATGAAGCGCCTGTCATTGTCAGGGAGGAAGGTACACTGGCTGAGGAAGTGGTTTGTGTTAGAGCGACCGGCTTGCTTGCATAAGGGACAGACCTTGTCCTGACTGGGCTGTCTGCTGCGGGCCTTAGGGTCACCCCTGCTACCCGGACAGGGGCGACGAAAATCATCAGCTGCCGCGGCACGTGGATCTTAGCATCATCTGAAGCGCGGATTTCCTCGAGGAGAGAACTAAGTGCCTGAGAGATCTCAGGTTTAATTGAGGCGAGGATGCGAGATGTCAATTCCGTGCTGTAGTGTTGCTTGACTAAACAAGGGAGACTGGGGTGAATGAGTCTCAACCAAGTAAGAACGACAAAGTTTTCTAGGGTAGGGGTTAGTTCCTCATCCTCTGTAACATGTTCACCATAGTGAGTTAAACTGTTAGCGTGTAGTAAGGAATCTTCCACAAAACCCATGAGGCATTGGTACAGATCCTCAGGGCGCTCATCCACTGCAAGGTGTATGTCAGAAAAATCGATAAATTGTGCGCTGGTGGCCTGGAAACCAAAGTTTTGGTGAATAGTTTGCCAGATGTATTTGAGTGAAGTTGAATTTTTTACCAAAGTGCTTCGGGAAATGATAGGGCAGTAATTCGCAATCTAACCTAGCATCAGCTCGAGAAAGTTGACTTTTTGTCGAGCGGTGAGGCGTCGAGCAAGAGGTATGGGATCACCATCGGCTACAAGTCCTGGAAGTGGTTGGGCTTTGGTCTTTTTCAACCAGTGAACGCCATCGGCTAGGGAAGGGGTGAAGTTGCTGTCCAATGATAATGTGTAAAGCAGATTTTCCTTCCAATTTTCGAAGCCATTGATAGTTTCCACCTTGGAAAGGCACCACTGTTTGGGTGCACGGTGAGAAGACGCCATTACACACGAGGTAAAGCTGGGGGAAGTGTTTTCACAGCAAAGGGTACACTGTTTTGGCTCCTGCGGTCGAGGCTTAAAAGTGACTTTATACGGTAAAATAAATGAGGCTTGGGTTGAAGCGAAGGCTGCCACCATGCCAGTTAAGAAGGTAAGGCAAAAACCAAGGCACAACCAATTCGTGTAAGGCTTTAATTGAACTGGGAGACAACTAGCAGCCAAGTAACAGTAACAATATGGCGGACGTAAGGCTGCCAACAACAGATAACGCATGCTAACTCATAGTACTGCTGACCAGTACTGGCGAAACAAGAAAAGGCTCAAAGAAGTGAGGGGAACGGGGAGGGGCTTAGACAGTGAGGAAAACCTCAAGAAAGTGAAAAATATTATCGAGATTTCTTTTTTTCAACAATATTCTTTTGCACCAAATGTCTCCGTCTTAGGCTCAATTTAAGTACTTTTTTGTACAAAACATCTGGTCTCAAGCCTGGATGTCAGATTTCAAAATGAGTGCAGCCCTCCCCCTTACCCTGTGACCAATAATTTGAAACAAAAACTTGCAAAATAGATCAAGAAGGGTCCACTAATTTACAAAAATGTTGTTTAAGGTCATGCCTCTTTTGGTGTCAGTTCTATTTCTTTTCATCCAACCTGTTTAACTAATTGACAAACACCATTTCCCGGTCAGCATTTTGATACCAGATTTCCCAAATGGGAGTGAGTATGGCTTCACACTACAAGGCAAGAGACAAGAACTACATTGTTCCTGTTTCCTATTTCAGCACATAAAAATCTAAAATATTTTGCAAAGCCTCCCTTTTCTTCTCTTCTTACCATCACAAGGTGAATGTTACGCCTCTAATTATGATCAAACATTTTAAATTTAAAGTCTCAGTGTACACAAACAATCTACGTCCCAGCCAGTTTGATTCTCAATTTTCATTGCCTCCTGGCTCTAAATGTAATTCATGAATAATTCGGGGTAGAAGACAAAGAAAACATTGAAAACATTGAACCTGAAATTAATTTTGACCTGTAACAGATATACACTGTATGTCTCATTATTTTGCAACGTTAGTTCTAAAAAATAATGAAAAAATCATCCTACACATACCCTGGTCTAACCGTTGATGGTAATTTGTTGCTGATGTCAGCAAATACAGATGGCAAACTATCACTTGAGTCACTCTCCTGTAACAAAATACATTTGAATTAGCTTGGAAGATATGCCAGTGTATACACTCGTAAGCACATAGTGCCACTGTGCTGTTCAAATTCCTTGATTGACTGTAAACATTTGTTTGGCTAGACATTTGGCAAATTCTTTTCTCTCCTTTCTCAACTAAGCAACCACCCAAGAGGATTGTTCTTAGCTAATTACGAAATGTCACTATTTCTGAATAATTGTGATATATAACGAAAGCTTACACAGCTGAACATTTTTTAACTGAAGTGAAGTTTTGTTTGGTTAGACATTCAGATGAGTAGTCAACAAACACAGTCCAAAGATTAAATGTACAAAAACACCAACAGGTGAAACCTTTAAGATATTTAAGCCACCTCAGTTTCTGTTTAAACTAATCAACAGCACATAAGGACTTAACAAGATAATTTTTTATATTTTGTTTTCTGACCTCATCAGAACATTCTTGAGGACTGAAACTTTGTTTGATGTTGTTAACTGGGCTTTGAGTCAAATCAACTACAGGTATATTCTGTCGGATGGAAAATTGATGATTGTCATTTCCATTTGATGGCACAGTAAAATAAATGACAAATCAACTTGACAAAGTCCACATGGATCGGATCTGTAAAAGGTGCTATACCCCCATATGAGCTATATAACCTTCTAGGGTTACAGTTACCACAACTTCTGACATGGCATCTGGAATTGATGGGAAAAGCATACTTTTCTTTCTTACCTCATCAGAAGGGTAATGAGAACTCAAACTGGGCTTTCAGTCAAATCAACTACATGTACAGGTATGTCCTGTAAAATCGAAAATTGACAAATGTCATATTTATTCATTTCGTCATTTCACTTAAATGGCACACTAACATAACAAATCAAGCAAGCTAGAAGAAAGATATGTAGAAGGGGCAAGATCCAATAACAGGTAGATCATCTTCAAGAGTTTACATAACCAATAATATTGCAAGAAAAGAACAGAAAGCAAGCCCCAGGATTTCATGGTTAAGCATTGATTTTTTCTTGTAAGCTTGTATCAAAGGAATTTAAGAGCCTGTGATGAAATTTGTATCAAGGTATACTTATCGTTATAACAAAATACCAAAACTAGTTTTCACGGTTTCAAAGCCACTGTACACTTACAAAATAATGAATGCAGAAACAGACTTGCCAATTTTATTTGTTTTGTAGCATTTCGCACACACACTAAGGAAAAGCCAAAATGAATAGCTTTTAAAGTACTGGGCGTTCTCAAACTTACATCTAATTAGAATTTCCTTAGAGAGTTGAATTGAATTAAAATTGGATACCTTGTATGGCGTAAACTTCAACTATATCAGGCACCCAAACAGTTAATTTTGAACTGATTATGCCTCTAACAAATTCGTATTTCTTTCAAGGAACTCAAGTGTCAACAATACAAAGTTATTGTGCTTCCTTTTGTCAAGTCTTTTGTGTTGTTTCAAATGCAAATTAAGCTTACTCGATAGCAATATCACGAGGAGCCGCAAAAGGGGATATTTTTGCACGGCATCTGGCGACACATCAAAGAATTTGGAATTGAAGGGCAAATTCCTAGAATATCTTCTCCAGTTAAGCTAGAGAAAAGGTGTTAAAAAACCTCAGGATCCAAAACAACATGTCAATCAAAATATCACTTGGACCTTTTCGCTAATGAAGAGCTATCACGCGGCTAAGCTTGAATTAGACATATCTTGAAATAGGAACTCGTGTCAATAAAGTATCAGAAGTGAGTGGGAATCGCTTCTGGTTAAAAAACTGGTTCACAGGGATATGCATCTCTTCAAGTTAAGAGAAGGGAATCAGAACTGCTTTTCATGCAGGAACAGGTTTTCTTCGGGCTAACTACAAAACTTCAGCTTATTTCACTCCTTGACATTGACAAAGCGCATTTTGTAAAGATAACTTTTTCCGCTTTATCAGCTTTTTTAATATTCTATTCCATGAATGTTTAACCTCCCTCAAAAAGCCAAATAATATAAATGCTGTTGTTAAAAAAAACGTTTTACCTGTTTTCGTGAATTCGCTACCCAAAGATCACTATGCTCAAAGGACACGGCAAAATTTCCAGGAGAGGGGCATTAATTTTTTTTCCCACGAGGTTACAAAGAGAAAAGGCAATGATTATTATTAATGTGACCATCAGGTATACTCTACCCACGAGTTTACGGACAGCATATTCAGTGATTATTATTAATGTAACCATCAGGTATGTTCTACCCACGAGGTTACAAAGAGAAAATGCAATGATTATTATTAACGTAACCTTCAGGTATGTTCTACCCACGAGGTTACAGAGAGCAAATGCAGTGATTATTATTCAATGTAACCATCGGGTATATTCTACCCACAAGGTTACAAAGAGAAAATGCAATGATTATTATTAACGTAACCTTCAGGTATGTTCTACCCACGAGGTTACAGAGAGCAGATGCAGTGATATTATTAATGTAACAATCAGGTATGTTCTACCCACGAGGTTACAAAGAGAAAGTGGAATGATTATTATTAAGGTAACCTTCAGGTATGTTCTACCCACGAGGTTACAGAGAGCAAATGCAATGATTGTTATTAATGTAACCATCAGGTATGTTCTACCCACGAGGTTACAGAGAGCATGCAAATGCAGTAACAATTATTAGATTTTAGTGCAACTATCAGGTTGAGTTCCTCCATTAAAAGAGCTTTTACTAGGGTTAAACAAGTTTGGCTTTCATGAGTTTCAAGGCGCAAGAAATTATCAGTATGATTATAGCACACAAACATTGTCATCTAATTTCTCGCACGTAGCCAGAATAAGCCAAGAAATGAAGCATATATAACGAAAAATCGTCCTCAGATGATCTCCATATTAAGTAAATTATACTAAACGTTGCAAAAGAAATTATTGT